ATTAGTACTCAAGATTTTCATAGACGACGACGACAACGACGACGACGACGACGACGACGACGACAACGACGACGACGACGACAACAACAACGACAACGTCAACAGCTACGACGACGAAGACGAGGGGAGTACCGTTATTCTGGTTTAGAAGTTACTTCAAATTGTGTACAAGATATTGAAATTTAATTTTCTCATCCCGTTAGAACAAACTCTTAACTTGCCCGGATATATAATTCTGCAATCCATTTTCGAAAGCAAGCAAAAATGGAAGTAAATAAATGAATTAATAAAATAAAAAAAAAAAGAAAAAGAAAAATAAAAATAAAAATAAAATACATAAAGAAAAAGAAAAGAAAAAAAAAAAAAGAAAAAGATAATGACGTTGCAAACGTTTATTAATACGCAATCGCAAATTGTAGATGTAGATGTAAGTGTTAAAAGATTTATATTCGTATGATGAGATCCTAAAAATGAAACTGGTGGATCTTCAACGAGAATGGCAAGGATGGATCATCCATCCGTACGTTGAAGGCTACTGGGTCAAATGATTATTTATGATCTCTCTCTTTCTCTTTCTCTTTCTCCCACCCACACACACACACACACACACAGAAAGAAAGAAAGAAAGACTTGTAATATATTTTGTTCTGTGAATCTGTATGTGTATATATCTATATATAAAGAAACGAACGAGGCCTTGAAAAAATATTTGAAACGTTAAAAATAATCAATTTGCGAATTTGTTCTATTTTCTCTTTTACGAAATCTAAATTAATAATTATATAAATATTTTTTGTAATAATAAATTTCAAAGGATAATTAACTCTCACCCCCTCCCTACCTTTACGATAAACTCAACGCATTTCTTTTCCTAACCTTAAAATTTACTATAGGATAGGCCAAAAGGTTCTACATGAGAGCCTTATAAATTTTACACCTTCCCGAGACTCTCTAGGTTAGAATTTTTCTTTTTTTAAATTATGAAACTACTAACATAAGAACTTTTGGCCCAACTTGTATTATAAATATATCACTATGAAATTTATATGTGTATATATGTATTATACGTATCTACGTATGTGCACACATATTTTTAAAAGAAAACATTTACTTTTAGATTCTCTCGACCCATTTCATAATTGTGAATATATATATATATATATAAACAATATATTTACATAATTGCAGATATATATATATATATATATATATATATATATATGCATGTATTTATGTGTGCCTGTAAATTATACTCGTCTATCAACGAAATATGGAACGTTTCTTATTAAACATCATATCAAAGGAACGTTATCGATTTCGAATAAATTTACCAGCACTTAAAATACCACATGACACGTTTATTAAGAAAGTCATGGTGCTTCTTCACATTCGAGACTTTTATTATACGTTACGGGCGCCATCTTTACGCTTGCTTAGCTACATTTTCATGTTTTAACGAAGTACGACGTACGTATATATGTACGTATATACATATATATATATATAATAGAAAGGACAGGGGAAAAAAAAAGAAAAATCACGAAAAAGATATATAATATATATATATATATATGTGTGTTATCACATATGTATATCACATAGAATTTCATAAATCCCATACGATATTATATAATCATGATTGAATATTAGATATGAATATAAACGATAGTATATGTATTAAAATAATTATTGATTATGTTGACATTTATTATGAATACTCCTGAAAACGATAATAATAATAATAACAATAATAATAATAATAATAATAAGAATAATAAGAATAATAAGAATAATAATAATACAATCGTATGTTAAAAATTTCGCGCAAGCGAGTAAAGTAAAAAATGAAAAAAGAAGAAAATAAATAAATAAAAGAAAAAAGGTAAAGTAAAAAAAAAAAAAGAAAGAAGAAGAAAAAGAAAAGAAGAAAGAAAAGGAAGAAGAAAACGTATGCATAATACGACACGTAATATAATTCATGTGTTACGCAAGATGTTCGATCGGTGGTTAAGAAAAAGAGGGTTGAGAACGAAAGAAGTACCACCCTTTCGGCTTACGAACGATTCTTAAACGTTTCCTTCTATCGTTCTACGCCCCTTTGATCCTTAACCATGCAATAAAAAATATTTAGAAAATTCGTTCGAAATTACTTACGTATTTCTTTACGTCAAGCGAGACCGGTGTAGCCAAAGGTGCCGTTGAATGGAAAGGAAAATATATATATATATATATATATATATTGTGTGTATATATATATATATTGTATTTTCCGATATCTTCTCCCGATAGTAAACGTGTCTAGGCTCCACTCTCTTTCCTTCTCTCTTTCTCTTTCTCTTTCACACGCACTCACGAACTAGCGCGTTATTTCTCACGCTTTCCCGTAATTCTTTTTTCTTATTTCGCTTTTTTTTTTTTTTTTGTTTTTTTTCCCCCGGAGAGCTTTGGTCCAGTGGACAACGCGTCGACGTTGTTGTTATTAAAATTTCTTTGGAGTACGTTTCATAAAACTACAACACGATGCGACAATTATCTCATTCGAATTTATCAATTTCATCTTTCGAAGGATATATATATGTATATATATATATGTATATACATGTATGCATGTATGATATATCTGATGAATAATTTCTTGCGTTGTTGTATATTTAACGTGCGAATACACTATAGAATTACTTCAAAGATCTTCCTTTATTTTCCCTTTATGTTTTTCTTCCCTTCCTCACGTTTTCGTAGATTAGGGAAATAGAAATATATATATATAAATTATAATCGATAGAAATATAAAATGGTGTATTTAATTAAAACGATCGTGTTGTTAAAATTCGTTTCCTCGTCGTCGTACGAATCTTTCACGTGTCGACGACGACGAAGAATACAGATAGGACGTCGACGTTTATCCTTTGGTACGGGCTCAACATCACGAGTAAAATCTCGTACCTCGAAAAAATTATTACGTTTGTAGATGCGTGTTATCGGTTATCTCGTTACTTTCGTGTCTATATATGTATATATGTATGTATGTGCGTGTGTGTGTGTATTATATATATATACGCGCGACCGTAATAAAAATACGTTTAGTCCGCCCGATGCGACCACCTCCACGTTCGCTTCACGTCTGACATACGAAACGCTTTGATCTCCCCACGCTACCTCGATGATCCTTCCCCCACCACCTAGCCACCTACCGGTCGCGAGCTTTCCCCCACCACTTGGCCCATCACCCCGCCGCTAAAGCCGGCGCGCGATCGAGCCGGCGTGGGTAGTGCGCATGCTCCACCCGGCAACCTCGTGAGTTTCACGTGATTGCGATAAATCGGCCAATCGTATACCTCGCTCGTCCACGTGCTCTCCTCGCATTCTTCCAACTTCGCTTTGCTGCTGGCAACAGAATTGATTCCAAGAGTATGGCTGACTGACGACGATCGGCGGAATAGTGCCTGGGCTAAATTATTGAAAAGGAACGAACGAACGAAATGTGCCTTTTTATAATAACTCTTTACCTCTTAATGTTTTTTCTTTATCCTGTGTTATTTTCCATTAGAATCCGTACATTCTGTCCGTCTATCCGCAAGTTAATCCACTTCGGAACTTGCCCGCTATTTATTTTTTAAATGTATATTTAAGAATATTAAAAACATATATATATATATATATATATATATATACATATATATGTGTCGCGTGTTAAGTAACTAGTAGCCCTCTGGTAATACTACAAACACATGGTGCAAAGAAGTTCCAATGAGAAATGCATATTGCGTGAGTCCCTCGTTGGATATCAATTACGTGCACCCTTATCTCGTTACTTTTAATATGTCGGTCATACTTGCATCATATATTTTGTGTACGCAGTTTGAATTTGATTATAAACATTTACCAATTCAAAATACGATTAATATTATTCCGATGTAATGTAACAAGATAATTATTTTCTGTAAGCTGTCATAGCATTTTCTTTGTTTTTCATGAACGACATATCGATAATCCGGTATTTACAGAATATATAGGCAAGATATATGGTATATATATATATATATATATATACACATATATTGTATAGACGTGTGTATTGCACTACCAGTCAAGTACCGGCTTTGCATATATTTTTCTTAGCTAGAAGCCAGTCCGATCCTCTTGCAAAAGTCAATCCGGTTCGGCGACCATTATCAAATTGTTAACGATTACTTTTGAATTTTCTTACAATGTTATAATCTATTAAAAAAAAAAAAAAAGAAAAACAAAAAAAAAGAAAAATTAAAAGAAAAAAAAAAAAGAAAGTCTATAAATTTTATATAATCAAAGAAAATATTATTATCAAATTGCAACGCATGTAAATTTCAAACGGCCAATCGTATTAAACGGAATTTAATGGCGCAATATTTATTAAGTATTTCGTATCATATCGGATGTGCGATATATAGAAAATTGCGGTATTTTTAATTTTTTTTCTTTTCGTTTTTTCCTCTTCTTCTTTTCTCTTTTTTTTTTTTTTCTTTTATCGAACGCCCCGATATGGTTTAATTCGCAATTAGATAAATATCGTTGTATATATTTTGTATTAATATCGAATTAGTACGACGCAGGAATATGAGAGACGAACGTTATTTATACGTCTCCGGAATATTTACAAAAGTCATATTTTCTTCGTTGTATAATAACAAATTCATCGATACAATATTAACGTCCTTGATCGTGACAATCAAATTCTTTTGATTATTAAATTCGATAATTATTATTATTATTATTATTATTATTATTATTATTATTATTATTATTATTATTATTATTATTGTTGTATTCGATTGGAACGTTCCTATTCGAAGGAAAAAAAGAAAAATTAATGTAATCTTAGTTATAGATTAAAAAAGAAGAAAAACCTACTGACGAGAAGTTATTTACAGACAGGAAATGAATTGTATAAATGTATTTTCAAATATGCGTAGGCGGTGATGGCTTAACTCTTAACAATTTTAACTATTGCCAAGCAACATGGCCTTTATAAGAAACGATGAAAATGTTTATAATATACCGTCATTCGTTTCGACAATTGTCTGTCTTAATTTTGGATATTATTTTTTTTTTTTTTTCTTTTTCTTTTTCAATTACAAATATCCTCCTGTATTATTGAGAACTTTATATAATTATTATTATACACGCGTCATTGCGTATAATCAAGAAAATTCATATTTTCTATTTCTTATAAATTCTAAAAATTAATCTTATTTTTTTTTTTTTTTTTTTTTTTTTGAACATATAGAGATTTTTCTTTTGAACACATCTTACATGTCTCACGAAAATAAATATATTTATCATTTGGACAAAAACATTATTTGTAAGTTTGTGATTGCATTTTTGACAAAATATTTCATATATAAATATTTCTAACGAAATAATTGTAAGACGTGTCATTTTATTCCTCGAAATTATATATATATATATATATATATATATATATATATATATATATATAGAAAGAAATTATTATAATAATATATAAAGGTTGACTTCTCTCTCGAATATTTCATTCATCTTCGGAAGGAGTCATAGGTCTTATTATTTTATTACAGAATATAATCTGTGTGTGTCTATGTGTATGTCAAAGGTGAGCACTTTGAGCCAAAAAAGAAATTACACAATTATTTTTTTCATATCATAGATTTTGTTAATTAACGTTGACTTTTATAACATAACTTTTGAAAATTTCGTTCCTCGTGGATTTACTTTTTTGTATTTGAAACGGATTATAATAAATTCGTTTTATTTTATACAAAATCCATAAGAATTAAAATCAAATGTTTATGAAATATTCAAAAGTTTACGCTATTTCTTTTTTCTTTGCTTTTTTTTTTTTGGTCATTATTTTTTTGGTCATAACATCGAGATAAATATTATTGCGTTTCTCGTAAAAGGAAATCCTTGAGGAAAGAGAAAATTTATTTTTTTCTCTGTTGTTTATAATTTTAAAAAGAAATTAGATAAAAATGATTGTACACAAGTATTTTCGATGTTTCCTTGGCTTATTTTTAAATCAGTCAAGATTTATAAATAAAATATTACAACAAAAATTGGATTTACTGGACCGGCTTTATCGCGCATTTGGCAAACGCTTATATATATATATATATAGTATATATATGTGTGTGTGTATATATATATATATATTATATATATACTATACATTTGTAGAGATAAAAATATCACCGTCACCTAAAAAGGAAGCTATCGATGGTGGACATAATTGCAACAAAATGTATTTGCTGCTTGACGTATAATACATGTCTGTACGCGCCCGCAATCTTATTCTCTTTATGCATATTACAATGGAACTGCACTTTTTATTTTTATTTTTATTTTATATGATGTGTATATATACTTATAGAGACTTTCACCAGTTTTCAGACGCTTCTTAAATATGTACAGAAGTAGTAGTAGTAGTAGTAGTAATAGTAGTAGTAGTAGTTGTAGTAATAGTAATAGTATTAGTACTAGTAATAGTAGTAGCAGTAGTAATAGTAGTAATAATAGTATTACACACGAATAAACTTTCAATGTGTTGTGTGTGAGATCAGAGGAAGTTTTTTCAGTGGCGGAAATTTCAAGCAAGCTTCGCGATCACAACCCGATTAATTAATCGTTAATCCTCGTATTATTGGTATCACACATTGTAAAGTGGAATTTTTGTAACTATAAACAATTAATTAATTTAAAATAAATCTACGTTATTCGCAATAGACAGTCGAATCTTATAGAAAACAATAAATAGATTCATTTCATGTGTTCTATGAAATAGAATTATATTGACATATAAGTATCTCAATTCCATTACTAGGATTATAATGTCTCTCATTCCTTTTTTTTTTTTGTTTTTGTTTCTTTTTTCTTTTTTTTCCCCTCCCCCCTTTAAGACATTTCTCTTTCTCCTACATCTTAACAGACTTATTTATTTCATCCTTTCTCCAAAGAGGATAGGATAGAATAAAACTGATTAATATATTTACAGAGTTGTGTGTTAGTAAAAGTAAAGGAATCAACTCATTTCAATCATTCAAATTAGAGTTTCAAATATTCATATTTTTCTTTAATAAACGTACGTTATAAAAGGACTACGATGATGCTTAAACGACGATTTTAGATAGTTAATTAAATGCATATCGTAAAAAAAATATTATATAATAAATAATAATACTAATAAGAAAGAGAGAGAGAGAGAGAGAGAGAGAGAGAGAGAAAGAGAGAGAAAGAGAGAGAAACAATATTTTTTTTAGTTCTCAAATTTAAGATTAGATGAAATGAATTTTACTTACAATTCACAATGTGAACTAAGAAATTATATACACGAGAACAGATATATATATATACATATATATATGTATATATATAATACATTTTTACATAAATTAATTTCATATAAATAGAGGAACTGAAATTTCTTAATAATTTATCCCAGAAGAGTATATCAAATTACAGTTTCGAAATCGAGTAACAAAATTTTAAGAGAAACTGTTTCACAAGTAAAAAAGAAAAGAATGAATACATGTATGATTTCGAATATATATATATAAACACATTTATTATGTTTCTAATTTTATATATATGTGTGTGTATATAAAAAATCGTAATTTATGCTTTCTCACCCTCCATATATAAGGTATTGCATATTGAATATATTTTTTTATCTTGATGCATTTATTATCATACCATTTGATAAAAAAAATATACTTAAGAAGACAATCTGTTGAAAATTTATTTATCATATTGTCTCATATTTTAAATACTTTTCAGAATCAAAATGTTTAGTCTAAAATATAATACTCCCCCCCCCTCCCCACCCACCCCCAATAAAGATATCCATATATATAAATAAGGAATAAATTTTTAATTATAATACTGTTGGAAAATATATCTGTTCTAATGCAAATTCTCAATGCACATGTGAATTTGTATGTTTATATATATATATAATAATAATAATAATTAAAATATACTGAAAATTAAATGCCTGTATCAGTTCTTATAGTCAATTGGATTATCGTTATCATGGATAACATTTGTTGATTCAATCAAAGAAATTTGAATACAATGAATAAAGTCATAATCAGTTCTAAGACAAGGTACCGTGTGTTCTTGGTCTCTGGCAGCAACATAAGCTTCGTAATCTTGCTGCAGGGCCTGGCTCTTCTGATCACCGTTCCTCAACACTTTCACTTCCACCACTTTCTTGTTGAGGTCTTGCAATTTGGTATGTTATTAAGTATTCAGGGTATGCTTGTTCTCCTCTATACACAACATATTCAGGGAAAGCCAAACCACCTTGGGATGGTCTACCCATTACACTATGATGACCAGGCGGTGCATGAGCCATCTTCATTGCAGAAAATTGTAGGAACGATTTACCCAGGGTAACTCGACAAAGTAATAAATGCCTAAACAAAATAAATAACAGAATAAAAATAATAAATACCATGTTATTTTTTTTTTTTTTTTGTTTTTTACATAAATAATAATATTAACCTGTGACAGATGTAACAGCTTCTATCTTTATGAGAAGGACACCCAGTACCTCCGCATATACCATACACATATTGATTGCTTTTGCTACTGTGCTCTGCAAAATATATCCCAGCACCAAACATACCGCCGATATATGCATGCCTTTCGTCGAAACCTTTCTGTACAATTGCATTTATAAAGGGACTACCATGAAATAACATTCTTTCATTTGCTTGAGGAACTGCAGAACTTGGTGTGGATCTAGGACCTGTTCCAGGCGATGCTGGAGCAGCTGCACCAACTTCTTCAGCTACTTCTTGTCTTCTATGGGCATAACGTTCCCACAATTTCCGATTTTGAACCTTTTGTATCTAATAATATGAACGATAATGTTAGAGAATCGATTGGTTTTTTAGTTTTTTTTTTTTTTTTTTTTTTTTTTTTTTTTTTTTTTTTTTTTTTTTTTTTTTTTATAATATACACACCCTGACAATGTTATACCGTGAAAAGATACCACCGGCATGTCCATTATCTCTGTGCTGTCTAATGGTACTTTGCATTTCCTCTTCCACAGCTAAAAATTCTTTATCCTCGGTCAACAAATCCACTAACAATGTACCAGGAGTAATGGACGGTTGCCATAGTGTTCCCGTGGCGGTGGTTAATAATTTTTCCATTCCTTTAATTAATTTATGCCTATATCCATAAGCAGTTACGCCAACTTGTTTCAAATCTTCATGACACATTTCCGCCAATATATCCAACGTAATACGTTCCCTTTCAAATAATTCGAGTAAATGTTCTAATCCAAGACTTTGAAGGAAGCCCGCTACGGTCGTAATGTTCGAACTATTATTTTCTTTGCACATATCTTTAGATTCTCTTTCAGAATTCGAATCAGATGGTGGCATTGGGCTTAGACAAGACGATGGCCGAGCTAACGGAACGCATAAAGTCATTGCAGCTCCAGAAGGCATAATAACTGTTTCTTGAGTAAGCGGTGGTGGTGGAGTTACTGGTACTGATTACAAAAGAAAAAAAAAGAAAAAAAAAAAAAAAAAAAAAAGCGGAAAGTGGAAAAAACATATCAATAGAGTTGTTCACTTTTGAGTTAAAAAAGAAAAGAAAAGAAGAAAAAAAAAAGAAATTGTAATGCATATATATGTATGTATTAATTACCGGCAACGATACTAGGTGGTCTACTATTAATAGTACTACCACCATTCCCATTAATGTTAATCCCAAGACCAACGCCATTATTACCCGATGGTACAGACGGCACTACTTGCTGGGAAGCCATAGCATCTTGCAACAAACAACGTACATCGTCCGCACTCGCTAAATCTACTGGACTTTGTCCTTCTTGATTTTTAAGAAAAGGATCGGCACCGTGTGCTAATAAAAGAGCACACAATTGTGTTCTTCCTTTTTGTGCAGCCTCATGGAGTGGTGTAAAGCCCCATTTGTCAGTTGCATTTACTATTGTATTATATTTAATAAGTAATGCCGCTATATCCAAATGTCCATAGCTTGAAGCATTATGTAAAGGTATTAAGCCACCCTTATCTTGTGCGTTTACATCCGCTCCTCTTTCTAGCAAAAATTCTGCTACCTCTAAGTTGTTATAACCCGCTATATATCAAAGTTTTAACAATATATATTACAATTGAAGTTTTTCCTTTTCTTTTTTTCTCTCTCTCTCTCTCTCTCTCTCTCTCTCTCTCTCTCTCTCTCTCTCTTTTATTAATCCTCATTGATTTATACATTTGAAAAAAAAAAAAAAATGAAACGAAAAAGAACGAAACGAACGAAAAAAATGATTGAAACTTACCAGCAAAATGTAAAGGCGTACTGTTCCGACCTTGGGTATCTCTGCAATTGATGTTATCTTGCGTAACCAGCCTTTGCACCCTGGCTAGATTCCCTTTTTTTGCGGCATCCAAAAGGGCACTATTTCCACATAATAAATCTGCAACATCTTGGTCCCCTTCTCTTACTAGATCAAGAGGAGTTGCTCCGTCTCTATTTTTTTTAGTTGCATCTGCGCCGTGCCTTAATAACAATCGAACGATTTCGCATTTACCTTTAGCCGCGGCCTCGTGAAGGGGAGTAAATTTCCACAAATCTGCGACATTCACTGATGCGCCATGTTTTACTAATAATTCTATTACTTCGTAATGACCATAAGAGCAAGCATTGTGAAGGGGCACCAATCCGCTATAAAATTAAATTGGATTAATTGCGATAATCATAGGCAACGTTAGAATAAGCACGTTAAACAAGTTCAAGTTAAATTATCCTTAATTTTGACAAAAGATGATGCGTATACGCGCGCGCGTATGTGTGTGTGTGTGTGTGTATATATATATACATATATATATATACCCTTTATCTTTGGCATGCACATCCGCACCATGTGCCAAAAGGTATTCGACGACGGGCACTCTATTAAAACCTGCTGCAAAATGCAGAGGTGTAGAGTGTCGGCCATCTAAATCGCGACAATTTACGGCATGTGGATTTGTTTGTAAAATTCTTTTTACAGCATTCAAATCGCCGGATTTACTAGCTTCTAAAAGCTGTGCTTCAGCGTCGTCGGTTCCACTAGGTGGATCTATAAATAATATACGTATGGAATTAATTAGAAATATTTGAATTATATATAAAGAAAGGATGAAAATATTTTTCATGACATTATATACCTTGTAATATTTTTAAAACATTTTCCGCGGCAACTTGTGCCGCCGTATAACCTTGAAGAGATACAATTGAAGGATCGATGTTGTACGATAACAATATTCTACATGCTTGCACATTGTCCTCTCTAACGCACCTAAGTACACGGATACGTTTTTAGTTTGGTGAACTTGATATCATTCGGGATCATTAACTTTTGACGAATTTTCTAACGATTAACATTACCTGTGTAAAGCAGTTTGTCCTAGGCCATCTAATGCATTTACTTTAGCATTATGCCTAAGTAATATATCCATTGCATCGTAATGCGAATGGTCAGTAGCCACGTGTAAAGGCGTAAGAAAGTCTTTATTTTTCTCATTCATGGCAGCATTTTTTCTAATCAAAATTTCAATAATCTGTTTTCGTTTTGGATAAGGCGATGCAACCGCGCAATGCAATGGCGTATCCCCGGTATATGGATGTTTAAAATTGACAACATCCTGAGACAAATACTTTTTCAATTTAGTTGGATCAGCCTGCCTGCAGGCGTCCAATAAACAATGGCCTTTATATTCGTCTAAAAAATGAATAAAGGAAAAAGAAAAAAAGAAAAAAAAAGAGAAAAAAAAAAAAAGAAAGAATACCAAAATTATTACACGTCAGTTTTTAAATAAATATATAATACAATACTCACATGCTAATCTTTCTTGTAATTCTACGGTAGGTGCAACATCGATAGCGCTCTTGCTGTGACAATTCAATTGAGTTGGATCTGCACCTTCGCTTAAAAGTAAAGAACAAACTTCTGCTCTGGATTTACTAGCGGCTTCATGCAATGGTGTAAATGCCCATAAATCGCTAGCATTTACAGCGGCTCCATGTTTAAGAAGTGCTTCTGTTACTTCGAAATGTCCATAAGAACAAGCATTATGAAGGGGAACAAGTCCTCTGTTAAATAAAATCTCTATGTTCAATTTTTCTATATAATTTAATAAAAACTTTTTTATCATTTCATTCATTATGCATACCCTTTGTCCTTTGCGTGTACGTCCGCACCATTTTGAAGAAGAATTTGTACAACTCTAGATCTATTATATCCAGCTGCTAAATGCAAAGGTGTTGATCTTCGTCCGTCACTAGCGTGACAATTGACATTAAGTGGATTTAAAAGCTGTAATAATCTTTCTTCGTTTCCTGATCTTGCAGCTTCTAAAAGTTCATCCTTTCTATATTCTCCTGTTAAAACTGGCTTAGTAGCAGCGTCTGCCAATTCCAATGCAGTCTTTCCCTCGGCATTTCTAATATTTGCATCAGCTCCATGTTGCAACAATACTATGCATACGTCTATCTTACCCTTAGAAGGGATAATATCATTTAAAGAATTTTATAATTAATTCAATAACGTTTTATCAATTTCTTTAGAAGTAATACCTTAATGGCAGCTTCATGCAAAGGTGTATAATTCCAATTATCTCTTGTATTAGGATTAGCTCCTGCTTCAAGAAGCAATCTTACAACATCGGAATGTCCGAAAGAACATGCGTTATGCAGTGGATGTAAACCACCATCGTCTCTTGCTTGAATCGATGCACCGGCAGAAAGAAGAAACTCTACTACGTCTATTCTCCCATAGCCTGTTCAACAATGGCATGAAAACAAAATTTTGGATTATACTGTCAGGATAGAAAGATCCGAGTGGAAACAAAAAAAAAAAAAAAATAATAAATAAATAAATAAAGTAAGAAATAAAAAGGAAAAGAAAAGAAAAAAAATATAGAAAAGCAACGAAGACGATTACTTTATTAAAAAAAAATTTTATAAAAATGCTCGAGTTATATATCGTGTCAATAATTTTTTTTTTCTTTTTTTTTTTCTTTTTTTTTTTTTTGTAAAATTAACCACACGACATTTATCTCTTGGTAAATGTATTTATTGTCAAAATGGTATTATAAAAACAAAGGATCATTCATTTGTCCACGATATGATTGAGCTCACCAGCTGCAAAGTGCAGTGGAGTGGCCTTGCGTCCAGCGGTATCTCGTGCATTAACTGTCTTTGGTGTAACCAACGCCTTAACTCTCGTAAGATCACCAGTTTTACAGGCTTCGAATAATTCTCTTAAAGGATCAGTATTTCCTGATCCCGATAAGGATTCGACATTGCTTAAAGTCGATCTACGTCCTGCCATTTTATTCCGCCATTTTCACGCAATCGTCCAAATTCGGAGGCATTTTACGATAGGATTAAGCTTTCACGAGACACGAGTAAAGAAACGACGACGTGATACGATCGTAATACGAGATGAGTTGCTACACTGGAGTTCAGTGGCGCCGCGGTGTATATACACAACCGATACGCGCTAATTATCACTCTCCTACCATTCTTCTTCGATCAAAGCAAGACATTTTTCAAAATTCCCATTGTCAACGGTATGTTGCGCATTATGGGATATATATATATATATATATGTATATATACAGTGTACTAACAAACACAAAGAACATTATATTCCTCTTAGATACAAACAATTCTATCGATTTATCAATGAATTTGTTTCATCTTGTAGAATATTATTTTATTATTTATAAATATTGATATATTACTGCATGTGTATCTATATATATATATATATTTGTTAATTAAGAGCAAATAAATATCCGCGGTCTTTTTTTTTTTAATATCATTTGATAAAGTTGGCACCACTGACGGACAGCTGATTTTGAAAGATCATCAATACCAATATATAATTCGATAACAAGAATATCTATTTTTTGTTATTGTTGTTGTTGTGCGTATTATATCAAACAAATGATATAATAAATATATTTAATTAAAATTATCATTGGTATTAGTTATTAATAAAAACAAATCTATGTGTGAGAATATCGATAGAAATAATTTTGAATTTATCGCCATTGTCAAATTCCATTCATAGATGTCGCTTCGGTTGAATTTAGTAGTTTTCATATCTTACAAACAGATAGTTCAGATAGACGCACAAAACACGTGTTCGAGGGAAAGAGAGTGCGAGAAAAATATTATTAAAAATATATTAGTTCGGGAATTATATTAATTTCTGTTAAAATAATGAACGAATCGATTGTTAAAATGGAGGTAGATGAAAGTTTACAAGAAGGAGGAGAACTTAGTTATGAAGATAAATTGAAGTATGTTAATTCTATTGCTAAACCAATGGCATCGAGAAAATTGGCGAAGAAAATTTATAAATGTATAAAAAAAGGTAATTTTAATGTTTCTTTTTATTATCCTCTTCTAATATTAACCAATAATTCTACGATAAATTTGAAATATTTTATTACAGCATCAAAACATAGAACGTATCTACGCAATGGATTGAAAGACGTGCAGAAACACATACGCAAAGGGGAAAAGGGGTGAGACAAAAAAAAAACAAACAAAAGGTTCATTAATAAGTTCTAATAATGTATACGTAATAACGTTTATAAATTTAAATCCTTTAGATTAGTCATTTTTGCCGGAGATGTTTTTCCAATAGAGATAATGTGTCATTTACCAATCGTCTGCGAGGATAAAGATATTCCATACTGTTATACTCCTTCTAGATTGGATATCGGTACTGCTATGGGTGTAAAACGTGGTAGCCTTATGGTACTTATCAAAGAACATCCTGAATATAAGGATCTATATGACGAATTAATATCTACAATGAAAACATTAGCAACACCTTTATAATTATTTATATTAAATCAATACATAATTTCAATCGCATTGTAAATATGATATATAGGTTATACTTTTAATATCATAAATAATTCATATTTGTTAAAAAAAAAAAAAAAAAAAGGAAAAAAGAAATACAAGATCTCTCCAAAAGAAACAAATTCGTTATAGCTTCATTATGATCAAGACAATATGTAATAGAAATGTTTAATTGTATCGATATAAAAAAAAAAAAATTGTAAACAAAAGTCATACTGAACATATATGATTTATTACGAAATTGTTATCTGACATAAATGACATATCTTTTAAACTCCTTCTCACCATGGCTTTTGCTCACTCGCATTCACAATTATAATATGATACATATGATCGTATAAGATTATATCTAATGCAAATAATATATAGCTTTTTTAAAAAATTTCAACAGAAATATTGGACATATTCTTTTTTGTTCTTGAATAATCAATGGATGTAATAATCCTTCCGTTTCAAAATAGTTTAAATCTTGCCAAGAAATGAAGGTGTATATACATATATATATATATATACACTTTCATTTATATATATATATATATGCCTATTTAAGCTTCCATTTATCGTTGTTAAGTACTATTTCTTTGATATATTTTTTGACGTAATAATTTAGGATAATCCAGTAAAATCTTGAGATACTTAATGCTTAAATGTATTCAGGATATCACAGGCCAGTCCTGTAGAGATTATTTATATGTGTATGTAAATAGAACATTATATTAGCCAGGACACATTTTGATAGTATATGTAAGAAAGTGAATTAGGCACAAAGTGGAGTATGAAAAAAATGTTAATATTAAAAATGATATAATGTTTAATATAATTAATATTATTGTGCCGTAAAAGGGATTATATTCTTTGCGAGACTAATTTTTTATTTTTTTTTTTTTTTTTTTATTATTTTTTTTTATCTTTTTATTTTTATTTGTATTTTTATTTGTATTTTTATTTATTTATTTTGTTTCTTTTATATTTTCTATTCTCATTTAGCGCCTTGTGTTTGAAGAACATAAAGACGACCAGCGTCTCGATTAGTAAGGTTAGAACGGATTTTAGGATATTGCGTTTCTTCTCATTTTTTTTTGTTTTTTTTCTTTTGCAAAGTTTCAATCGCGTATCAACGAGTATTTTTTTCCCTTTCTTTTCTCTCTCTCTCTCTCTCTCTCTCTCTCTCTCTCTCCTTCGTTAACTAAGTAAAAGATTAATTATCTTTGTACACGTTTATTTTTCATCCTTGTGATCAGGACATAAGCTGAATTAATATAACAATAGCTGCTGCGTGCGCTTTTTAAGTACCACCCAGTAGAATGGTATTGGTACTCGTTTGAAATTTCGCGCTCTTTTAAAATCCTATCGTCGCGATCGTCATTTCTTTTTTGCTTCCTGTAGTCGCGATCGTCATTTTTTTCTTCCAGTCATCCGCGACAATCGTTTCATTTCTTTTGTTTTTCTTCTTTTTTTTATTTTTTATTTTTTTTTTTTTACTTTTTATTATTTTTATTTTTATTTCTTTTTTTTTTTTTATATATATATATATATATATTAGTTTGCAATCGTGGTGAATTTCTTTTGCCGTTGAATTTCGAAGGAAAAGAAAGCTATCTGGATATTTCGCGATGCCGTTAAAGAAAAAAAACGTGATATTCGAAGATACTTAAAAGGTATATACACATTACGGATTGTCGATATCGGTTATCTAAAAACATTTTCAATTGTGTATTATTTATATCTTTCATACGTACTTTGCTAGAGATGTTCTTCGACTGCAACGATTCTTTTATTACTTTTTGTTCTTTTGTTTCTCTTTCTTTTTTTCTTTTCTTTTTTTTTCCTTTTTTTCTTTCTTTTCTTTTTTACTTCTAGTTATAATAATGATCGATTGTAAAAACGTCAATATTTCTCTCTCTCTCTCTCTCTCTCTCTCTCTCTCTCTCTCTCTCTCTCTCAACGAATTTCAATTTTTATAGTGTAGATGACTACAAAAACGTAAGATTATTATATTTATGTAGTCTCTTGTTAATACAATTCATATACGCAGGATTTTCTGATGATGTGTGTATACGCGAGCGCGCGCGCGTGTGTGTGTATGTGTATATATATATATATATTCTCTGTGTGTAATAATTAATGTGTGATCGAAAGAATGGACACAAAGTGGAAAACGGACATTTTCAAAAATGAAGAACCTTTTTGCGACACTTATCGGCGCTTTGATTTCAACAATAAATGATCCAAGGAAGGATGAATGAATGAATGGAAAAGAAGGATTCAAAAGCTAAATGTAAGTAATGGATATGTCTTCTTTCTATCCTTATATTTTCGCATCGGTATCGTGTGTATAGGTACTCCGCCGTTCGATCTTAGTCGTTAAGAGAAAAGAGAAAAAAAAAAAAAGAAAAGAAAAGAAAAAAGGAAAGGAAAAAAAACTTTCTTACGATTCTATATGTGTATATATCTATATATATCCGATATAAAAATATAATATATGTACATATATATTTATATATATGTATATATATTATATTTTTTCCGAGGCCTTCGTCGAGAGTACAATTTGTACGCGCTTGTACGATCTATTCGCGAATATATTCGAATTATGTTTCATTGTTCTTTTTTTTCTTTTTCTTTTTTTTTTTTTTTTCATTTTCCCTTTTTTTTTTCTCTCATTAATTAATCTTAAAAATATAAATTCGGAACGGGATTACATCCAGTCCTTAATTTTCCTTCATTTTTTTCTTTTTCCCGAATTCGAATGGTTCTTCGAAGATTCGCGAAACGATCGCCAGATGTCGTTACTAACTGGCGCTCTCCATCGCCATTTCTTTTTCTTGTTTTTTTTTCTGTTTTTCTTTTTTTTTTTACTTTTGCTTTTTCGTTTCTTTTCTATTTTTGCACGTGCGTATGTTATTTCATTTTCTTTTGTTTCTTTCTTTCTTTCTTTCTTTCTTCTTTTATCGGCTTCGTCTAATTTCACGCTCAATCACTCGCTCATACACACGCACATACACATACACAGACATACACATATACATCATACATACACGCACACACATATATATATATATATATATGCGTGTGTTTGCTTAATATATATCATTAAGTTAAACCATATTTAAAATCTTATTATTTACCAATTTTCTCAGTATAAAATATTATACGTATATTACGTATATGAGCGACGAAGGACGACATTGACATCGAAATTGACGTGACGTATAACAAATATAGGACGTTATTCTCATTTTCACCCAAAACGAACGTGAATTCTTAAATTTCTCCTTTTTCTTCTTTTTAAAAATCTTCGTCTTTCATCTTCTTCTTTTTTCTTCTTTTTAAAAATCTTCGTCTTTCATCTTCTTCTTTTTAAAAATCTTCGTCTTTCATCTTCTTCTTTTTATTCTTTTTAAAAATCTTCATCTTTCATCCTTCATCCTTCATTCTTCATCCACATCTTATCAATTCAGTCAATTATCTATACTTCATTCTTTTTTTTTTTCTTTTTTTTCTCCTTTCTCTCTCTCTCTCTCTCTCTCTCTCTCTTTCTCTCTCTATGTGCGTATATCACGCGATACAATTATTATTGCGAACTGCTCGTTCGGTATCATGAAAATTACGATTAATTTAAGATCTGCAAGCGAAACGCGATAAAAATATATCATCGATGATGATACATATGTGTACTCGTTTATTCGTAAACGACGAAAAAAAATTTTAATTCCTTTTCGCCACACGTCCCGCCCATTTTTTTTTTTTTTTTTTATAAAGAACGACCCATAGAAAAATTCATTAACGTCCGAACATGATGACCTTAACGATTTATGATTTTTAATACCGTTTATAATACAACGTTCGAAAATGCGAGAGCGTATGACAACATTTATTTTCCTTTCTTCCTTCTTGTCTTTTCTTTCTTTTTTTCTTTCTTTCTTTCTTTCTTTATTGCTCTGTTTTTTTTCTTTTTCTTATTTTCTTTTTTTCCCCCTTTTTCATGTATGCGCCAACTATTATATATCCACGTGCTATCGACAAATCCTTCAATTGTAACACCCTTTAACGATCCTATTACATACGTCGAGCGTCCTTTACAAGTAATTATTTATTATTATTTTTTTTTTATTCTTTTTATTTTTTTTCTTTTTTATTTTTTTTTTTTTCTTACATGTGTTACGAGCTACGAATATTTTTTTTTTCTTTCTTTCTTTCTTTCTTTTTTCTTTAGCGATTAAATACGAATTTTTTTTCTCCGTTCTTTTTCTTCTTCTTCTTCTTCTTCTTCTTCTTCTTTTTCTTCTTCCTCTTGTGTGTTTTCATTTTATTTTATTTTATTTTATTTTATTTTATTTCTTTTTTTCTTTGCGCGCGCGAATAAGTGATATCGGTAAGAATATAAACGTAAGCATTTTCGATGATACGTTTTACACAATATCTTTTTTTTCTTTTTTTTTCTTTTTTTTTTTTTCTTTAATTCACGTGATTATATTCAAGATTATCTATTATTATTATTATTATTATTATTATTATTATTATTATTATTATTATTATTATTATTATTATGTATTTATTTATTTATTTATTTTGACGTGTGTGTGTGTGTGTGTGTGTGTGTGTATGTACGTGTGTACGTGCGAGTTTGTGTGTTAAATGAAATAGAACAATATATCCGATATCGATAACGACAACGAAGAAGAATGAAATACAAAATGATCGAATGAATTATCCAAATGAAATATATTAATGATCGATTAATTTTATTATAGATTTAACGCGATTTCCATTCTATATATATATATATATATATATATATAATATCGCATTATTAAATCAATTCATAATTATTAATAAATGGCCGACATTAAACAAACAAAAAAACGCATCAAGTTCCTTTTCACGCGCTTCTTTTCTCGTGCAAGGATAATAACGCGTGTGAGACCATGATAAAAGGTGTAAGGGAGGGTGGGGTGGTAGATAGATAGTGGCTAAAGACGGGGATGGGAGGTGAAAGGTCGCGAACTTTTTTCCACGCGTATTAATTAATACTATTATAATGTCCTACAAAAAATCTTATTGCGCAACTTTTACAAACGTGA